GAGGAGTTAATGTAGCAAAGTGAGGTGCTGAACCCAGCGTACGGCTAGTGTCACAAACATGTTTGTGATCGTAAATGACAGCAGCAGCTAAATTCTGCAAGGGTCTTCCTAAGCCTTTCAGGAAGCTCCGCCTTTCATTCCTCTGGCCTCTAACCTGCTCCTCTTCCTGTCCAGCTCCGGCTTGCTTACTTGCTATACAAAATGATATTCCTCACGGCACTGCCTCTCTTCTGGATTATGATTTCAGGTAAGAGCCGTGGCAAGGGGTGCTGGGGCTCCAAAGCCTTGGTCCCAGGATCTGCAGGCCAATGGCAGGTGATGGGAGTTGGAGGGAATAATTGGGCAGGGGATACTTCTCAACCTGGTGGTCCTGGTTGCCCACAGCCTCCAGAGGAGGTCACTGGGGTGCCTGGATGCCCTCATCCATTTCGGCTTTTGAGGGCACATGTGTCTCCATCCCGTGCCGATTCGACTTCCCTGATGAGCTCCGGCCAGCTGTGGTGCACGGAGTGTGGTACTTCAACAGCCCCTACCCCAAGAACTACCCCCCGGTTGTCTTCAAGTCCCGCACTCAAGTTGTCCATGAGAGTTTCCAGGGCCGCAGCCGCCTGCTGGGAGACCTAGGCTTGCGCAACTGCACCCTCCTGCTTAGTACCCTCAGCCCGGAGCTGGGTGGCAAGTATTACTTCCGTGGGGACCTAGGAGGCTACAACCAGTACACCTTCTCGGAGCACAGCGTCCTGGACATCATTAGTGAGTCCTCCAGTGGTCACACCAATAGGGGAGGGGATGGTGGCTACACTGGGGTGGGCCAGGGATTGGCAGTCTGTCCCAGGAGTTCTGGATAGCAGCACAGGAGATTGATGTGGCTAGAGATGCAAACTCCAGTGCTTCCATGGACCATGTACATAAGAGAATTGAGCAGAGAAGGGCCCTGAATAATCTGGCTGCCCTTGGAGGAAAATGATTGCTTTTATTCTTCTGGAAACATCTAGAGCCCGGGGATCAGGAGCAAGGCCTCTGGATCCCTGCATTACCTACTTGACTTTGGGCAAGTTATTTGACTTCCATGGACCTTGATTTTGTCCTCTGTAAAATGAAGATAAGAACAGCACGTACAGCCAGTGAGTGAGTGGTTGCTCTGGGCAGTGCCTGGTACACAGAACCCTGCGTGGCTGGCAGGACACTGGACTGTTGGTGTCAGGCATTTAGAATTTGGAAGGAGCTCCAAAGTGAGTTTTTTTTTTTCACTGTAATCCTCTAATTTTTAAATATCAGCTTCTGAATTAGATAAAAAAAATTCTGGGCTGGGCTGTGGCTCAGTGGTAGAGCACCTGCCTAGCGTGTACAAGGCCCGTGCACTGTAATTTTGTCAATCAAAATAGAGCTGACTGCCTCCCTGCAGGTTTCCTACTGCATAATTTCTGAATGGCCCTGCAGATTGAAGCCCTCAGATTCACGCTCCCCAAACAGGAACAGGATTATAGTCCAGGTGTAGAAAGAAGCCACACAAGCACAACACACACACAATACACATATTACATACACAGACTACATACACAAGTGGTGCACATATACATAAAGTACACTCCACCCCCACACGGGTAAATCAAAGCAAGCACTGGAAAGAGCTATCTTAATGAACATAACATAGTGTCCACAGTGCAGAGGCTGGAGCCAGAGTGACAAGTTCCAAACTCCACAGCCTCAGTTTCCTCATTTGCAAAACAAACATAATTTTCACAACTGCTCTTTAGGACCATTGGAAGCACAGGCAGGTTGAGCCCACATGCTTGCTCAGGTGACTGGGTTATTGCTCACATTATTACTGCAGCTGATCAGATGGAAGAAGGCCTCCGGGTGAAGAATAGTCATGGAACGGGACAAGATACCAGGGGTGGAGTTGGACAAGGTGGGGTGCTGGCTGCCCAGTGCTACTTCCTCAGCTCTTCTTTGCCCCTCACATAGACACCCCCAACATCGTGGTACCCCCGGAGGTAGTGGCAGGAAAGGAAGTGGAGGTCAGCTGCATGGTGCCAGACAACTGCCCGGAGCTGCGGCCTGAGCTGACCTGGATGGGCTATGAGGGGCTGGGGGAGCCCACTGTGCTAGGTCGGCTTCGTGAGGACGAGGGCACCTGGGTGCAGGTGTCGCTGCTGCACTTCGTGCCCACTAGGGAGGCCAACGGCCACCGGCTGGGCTGCCAGGCCACCTTCCCCAACACTACCCTGCAGTTCGAGGGCTATGCCAGCCTGGACGTCAAGTGTGAGCCAGGGTGCGGGCGGGGCGGGGTGGGGGTGGGGCGGGAGGGGGCCTAGATGAGGGGGGTGGGGTCGGAGAAGGGCTGGGGTGGGAGAGTGGGGAGGGGCCAGTTTGCCCCATCGCCCGCCCACTGACCCAGGTCGCTGGCTTCAGATCCACCGTTGATTGTGGAGGTGAACACTTCGGTGGAGGCCATCGAGGGCTCCCACGTCAGCCTGCTCTGTGGAGCTGACAGCAACCCGCTGCCGCTGCTGACCTGGATGCGGGACGGCATGGTGCTCCGCGAGGCGGTGTCGGAGAGTCTGTACCTGGAGCTGGAAGAGGTGACCCCTGCGGAGGATGGCGTCTACGCCTGCCTGGCAGAGAACTCCTACGGCCAGGAGAACCGCACCGTGGAGCTCAGCGTCATGTGTGAGTCCCTGCCTTGTGTGCCACGCATCTCAGCAGCAGGGACCGGGAAAGGGCATCTGCCACAAACACCGCGGGGGCGAGGGGGAGGAGGGTGGCTCTTCACTCCTGCCACAGGTGTCTGATGCGATGTTCTGAACCAGGGGACACGACTGAAAGACACACAATTGGTCCTTGCCACTTAGGAAAGCCTGTTAAACTCAGGTTCTGTCCCTGGCTGATCTGAGTAGATTTGGCTCTGGCCCCGGAAATTTGGCTCTCTCTCTTCCTCCTTCCTCTCCTTCCTTCCTTCCTTCTCCCTTCCCTCCTTCTTCTGCTGTTTTCTTTTTTTCCTTGGTGCTAGGGATGGGAAGCTCACACTTTACCACTGAGTTATCTCAGCCCAGGAATCTGCATTTTTAAATTGAGCCCAGTTGTGCTAGGCAAGGTGGGACATTCCTGTAACTCATGTATTTAAGAGGCCGCAGCAACAGGATTGCAAGTTTGAGGGCAGCCTAGGAAATGTAGCAAGATCTTGTCTCAAAATAGTAAATAAATAAATAAATTTTTAAAAAGGGTGGGAAACGCAGCTTAGTAGTAGAACGCTTCTACATTTGATCCCTAATACCAGAAAGAAATAAAGATCTGTTTTTCTTCCCAGTTTGGGGGACTGAACCTAGGGTCTTCACTCTGAACTATATGCTCAGTCTCCCCACTCTTTCTTTGAGACAAGGTCTCACTATGCAGTTCAGGCTGGCCTTGAACTCACTCTGTAGGTGAGGCGGTCAAACTCACAGTGAACCTCCTGCCTCAGGCTCCTGAGTGCTGGGATCACAGGTGTGCGCCATCATGTCTGACTCAGTGCCATTTAAATTTTTTATTTTGAGACAAGGTCTGTTACGAAGTTACTAAGTTGCCTAGGTTGGACTCAAATTTTCTGGTCCTCCTGATTCAGCTTCTCAGGCTGCTGGGATTATAGGCTGGTCCACTCTACTCGGCTGTCATTCTGACAGGAAAGTTAAGGGGACCCCAGGGCTCACCCAGCTCTGTGCACATGGACATTATGGGGCACAGAATGGGGTGCTGACAGCACTGGACTCTTACCCAGGAGCCAGGTAGCCATTCATTCATTCATTCATTCGTAATTACTTACTGAGGCAAAGTGCCCCAATAGTAAGGAGGGCCATAGCCAACGTTTCCACAGCACTTCTTGAGGGCTTTATATGTGTGCTCCTCCCCCAGATATTTTCAGCCCATCTCCTTCTAGTCTCCTGGAAGCCTGCCCTTACCATTTTGTTTTAAACTGTATGGACCAGCCAGGAATTTAACTCAGTGGCTCAAGTCCTGCCTGGAAAGCACAAAATTGTGAGTTCAATCCTGATAACAAAACAAAAAACTATATGTCTCCTGATTTCCCCTTCAAATCCTTCATTTTTCTCTACAGTGGTTAGCTCCACTTTGAAAATATATTTTATTTATTTGTATATTATATTTTCACTTGGCCTTTATCTAAGCTAGAACAGTGCCTGTTGTTGAGCAGATTTTGCGGGAATGCTGAATGAGTTTAGAATTATCATTAAGCCCATTTTCCAGATGAGAAAACAGAGTCCCTCTGGCTAAGCCATGGGTCCCACACAGCTGGGAAGAAGTACGTAGCTCCAGATCTGAAAATTCTGGCTATAGAATCAGTGTTCATATAAACAAGGCATCCAGGACTGGGGTCATGGTAGCCAACCTGAATGTGTGTGCAAGGTCTGGAGTGTCAGGGATCACCTTTGGGGGTGGGGGTTGGCCTGCAGAGGCAGCAGCACCAACTGATTTCTGACCAACAGCCACTTGTGCTGTCCCTCAGATGCCCCCTGGAAGCCGACAGTGAATGGAACAATGGTAGCCGTGGAGGGGGAGACAGTGTCCATCCTGTGCTCCACACAGAGCAAACCGGACCCTATTCTCACCATCTTCAAGGAGAAGCAGATCCTGGCCACGGTCATCTACGAGAGCGAGCTGCAGCTGGAGCTGCTGGCAGTCACGCCCGAGGATGACGGGGAGTACTGGTGTGTGGCTGAGAACCAGTATGGTCAGAGGGCCACTGCCTTCAACGTGTCAGTGGAATGTGAGTATCGTTCCCTCCTCACTGGTGACAGGGGCCGATATGGGACACCTCGGTTACAGCTTTGCTCATCTTTACCAGCCGATAAGGATGGATTGGTAGGGAATGCACAAAGAAAATACAGATCCCCTCTGAGAAGACTGTTTCCACATTGTGGGGTCAGCTTTTGGCCAAGGAGATTTTGGAATCCAGTAGAATCCTGCCCCTTCCACTAACCAGAGCAGTAATTCTGTTTCATGAGTTTTTGGGTGGTTTTTTTTTTTTTTTTTTTTTTTTTTTGGTACCGAGGATGGAACTCATGACCTTGTGCTTGCCAGGCAGGTGGGTATGCTGCTGAGCTAAATCCCCGGCCAGAGTGGTAATTCTGAAATCTAACCCTCATTTCATCTTCATGATATTTGCATGAGGGAGATCCTATTGCTGGTCCCTAGTCTTCAGAGGTGGAAATTGAGGTCCAGAGAGGTTTTGCCATTCACCTAAGATCACACAGCTAAGAAGTGGCAGATTCTGAGATTCAGATGCAGACCATCTGATTCCACGCTTCTGTGCTGCCCAGAGGTGACCTCATCTTGTGCGATGCCATCAGAAAACACTGACTGAGTAGTCATTCATTGTGCACAGAAGGCTGTGCATTTCTATGGGAGGTGAGGATGGGATGGAGATGGCACCACGCTCGGTAACAGATACAGGGCAGCTAGAGAGATGTGACGGATGGTGGTAAGGAGCTTCTGTCCTGGCCCTGCCATGCATCGTTCTCTGCAGACTGGCGCCTCTCCTGACCTCTGAATGGGCAGCACGTTCCACCCCATCCCACCCGCACTCCAGGTTGTAGCTGCCAAGTCACATTTCCAAGATGCTCCCTCTGAAATAGCCTCTCCATGCCTTCATTTCCCCTGTTTCCCCCTTACCTTTGCCCAGCTCTGGCATTAGTCTCAAGTGACCTCTTGGGCTTCAGTTACTCTGCCTACAAGAGCCCACTCTGGGCTGTACCAAAAAGTTCAGTGAGATCGATGCGTAAGCATGCAGTACATAGTCCATGCTCAGTACGCTGTACGCGGCGGTAATCAGGACACAGCCAACACAGCGCCATCTTGCACGCCAAGACATAGGCCACGCACTTTGCTGCCAACCTATGACGCGGTCACCATCCTCTGCCCTTCACAGCTTCCAGTGGTCACGGCGTACAGTACTCTGCTTTCTTCATACCTGCCATCCTGGGCCACACGCCTCCCACTCTGCTGTACCCTACCACCTGTTACAGCCCAAGCTTTGCTTATTGTTTTGTTTGCAGTCTTTACACTGAGCTACATTTTAAGGTCCTTTTAAATTTTAAAATTTTAACTTTTAAGTTTTGAGACAGAGTTTTGTTAAGTTGCTAGATTGCTATGACAGGGCTCGAACTTGTGATCCATCTGCCCCAGCCTCCTAGGAGGCTGGTGTTACCAGTGTGTTATTCATCTGGCTTAGGTTTAAGAGTCAGAGGACCTCTTGAGAGTTTGAGGGGAACCCTCAAATGTACATATGCCACCGCCACCTCTGTTTCCAAGACAGTCCCACATGCTCATGTGTCAAAGAGCAGGTCTGTAGCACTCCTTCTGGGTTTGCCCTAGGCAGGCCATCACATCCGATCATTTGCAGGTTTTATCTTGCCAAGTGCTTGTGGCCACTGTGTCATCAACAGCTCCCTTGACCAAGGAGAGAAAGAAAGGTCAGAATTTCCCAAGGCCATGAAGCTAGGAATGCCAGTCAAATGTCACAGGAAGGGATCTCCAGACTCCTGTGGGCCCCAGCTCTTGAAGCTTTGGCTGCTTCACACCCCTCACAGCCCGCCCTCGGGGAGTGCATCCCTCAGGCCCCTCTGTCTGGGTAGTTAATGTTCCCAACCACCAGGGCTTTCCTGGAGAAGGGCCCCTGTCCTGCTGCTGACAGGGCCCCGAGGGATGTCAGGCATTAGGAGGCACTCACCCTTTCTGGTGCTTGTGATGTGCGGGGAACTAGTGAAGCATGGTGCCTGGACTTATTTTGTTCTAACAACCATATGACAGGGGAGAGGGATACCCCATTTCATAGAGAACTGAAGTTTTACCCCACAGAACTGAGCTGGACTGGGTCAGAATCCCAGCTCCACCCCCATCTTGCTGCAAAATCCGAAGCAAGTAACCTATCTTTGGCTAAGCCTCAGTTTCCTTCTCCAGAAGGGAGACAATAATATCTTACCAGCAGGATGGCTGTGAGGACCAAGGCTTTCTTCACGTGTTGCTTCTTCGAGGATGTTTCTGTCTCCCTAACCATAAGCATCGGGTGGATGCTAAGTACTCGCAACATGCTTCTGTGCCTGTCTTCCTGTTGCGCCTTCCGAGTAAAAGACCACAGACTGTACAAATAGTGCCAGCTCTCAAGCACAGGGAAACCGAGAGGCTGCCTCACCCAGCCAGTAGATGGCAGCGCTGGCACTCAAATCTTTGAATCCTTTGTGCCTCTAGGGATTCACTGAACATCATATCAGCCTCAGAGCTCTCCAGGTTGCCCATTAAGCTGCATAGATACCAGGCACAGACATGGCAGGGTGTTGACATCACCCCCCCCATCATTCAGGGTGGACACTTGTCCCCAGAGTGCCAACTAAGCTATCTTGAGTGGAAGGGTTTTTGACCAAGTTTAACATCTGTTAGTTTGGATTTGTTGCAATTGTTTGTTCTGAGTTGTGTTGATTAATTGACAGTACAGTAAGCATAATGCACATTTGTCTAAATAGTATTTAGGATTAGGTTTTTATTTTATAGACTTAGAAATGTATGCACTGAGGCTCCAACTAGAATCATCAATGGCAAGAATGTATCTGCTTGTAGAACTTCCTGGCCCATCACTGTTCATGAACATTCATTTTGCTAGAAATTAAAAATAGGTGCAGTGACTGGGCCAAGGGACTTTGTAGGTAGATTCAGGTTAGAACTATTGGAAATCCAATGCTCAGTCAAAGGCAGGCAAAAAAGGGTGCTGGAATAATGAACATAATTTAAAAAGCAATATTTGATATTTTAATATAATGTCATCTTTTGGAAAATTAAAGAAGAAATATCCCAATATTGTTTTTGCAATTAAATAGTAGCAAAGCAAAGCTTATCAGTCTGCCCATAGGTGGGAGGTGGTGTTTGTTCTGATGGTAGTGGGGAGTCCCATAAGGCAGGGAGGGCCAGGATTCAAGGGGCTTTAGGGAAGAGGCATGTAGGGGGCATCTTCAGTGGATGAAGGGGAGAGCAGGTACTGGAAGGAGACAGCAGGCTGGGTCTGTGGTGAGACCCTGCAGCCATGAGAATCTAATAGGGCTTCCCTTCTAAGTGTGGGGAACGGAGTAGAGATGGAACAAGACTACTCTGGTGGAAATAAGGCACCAACCACTTAAGCATATAATCTGGGAGGGGTGAGTACTGGGTAGGGAGAAAACCCAAATGAGGCAGAGAGTGGGCCAGGCAGGGAGTGAAAGAGCAGGCAGTGAGTGACTGAGCCATTGAGCCGTTTCCAAGGAGCTCGGAAATGTCACCTGCGTAGAGATCCTTCCTGTGGAGGAAGGGAGAGAGAGGAAATGGGAGTTGGGCAGGTACCTGGGGAGTGTTGCCGGAGCAAGGAGGGGTTCTTAGCCTCCGGGTGGAAAGGAGCTCCATGAACCTGAGAAACAGCAGGAACTCTGTGAACCTGAGAAACAGCCTACACTGTCTTGGCCTTGACCTCGCAGTTACACCCATGATTCTCCTAGAGTGGCATTGTCCTGTGGCTCATGACACATGTACAGCTGGAAAGGGAGGAAGGAAGGTGAGGAGAGAATGTTGTAGATCTTAGATTTTATTCCAAGTGAGCTAAGGAGCAGCTGGCAGAGGACTTTGAGCAGGGAGTGCTCTGATTTATGTTTAACAAGGGAAACAAAGTTAGAGATGATTCAGAGGGAAAATGAAACTCGCCTCTGTGACATAGTGTTCTTTTCCTGCTCATTTTGAGGCTGGAGTTGTCCCCAAAAGCAGCAGCAAGAGGGTTTTGCACAAGGGAGAAACTGAAACCTTCCCAAGCTGAGACCAGATAGGATTCTAAAGAAAGGACCTCTGGAGACCAGAGCGACCCAGTCTAAAGCATTTATTAGGGTTGAGTGTGGTGGCACACCTGTAATCCCATAACTCAGGGAGGCTGAGGCCAAAGGGTCGCAAGTTGAGGCCCAGGCTGGGCAATTTAGAAAGTCAGTGAGACGCTGTTTTAGAATAGCAAATATAAAAAGGGCTGGGGAGGTAGTTCACGGTAAAAGCCCTGAGTTCAATACTCAAAATTTTAAAAAAAGCATTTATTAGGGGAACCCACAGACAGATGGTGTGGAGGAAGCTGTGGTGCCCTCAGTGTAGCTCAGGGCCAGGGCTGGTGGTTTTCTCAGTATTTTGGGGAGTAGCCTAAATATCTTTATCAGTTCCTGGGAATGTTCAAGGCCCTGGCTGGGGTTCAGTGCTGCGAGGAAAACATGTAGCTGGCCAGGTCACAGAGTGGTCAAGGCTCTCTGCGTTTCTGCATCAGGACAGACAAAAAGTCAGGGGAACTGGGAATCCTACATAGAGTCACCACCCCCATCTTGACTATCCTGACTCTGTGCCCTGCCAAGGAGTCCCTGGCAGCCTGGCCTCCAGCTGGCTTCAGCCTACACTGTCTTGGCCTTGACCTTGCAGTTGCACCCATGATCCTCCTGGAGTCGCATTGTGCTGCAGCTCGTGACACGGTGCAGTGTCTGTGTGTGGTGAAATCCAACCCTGAGCCATCTGTAGCCTTCGAGCTGCCATCGCGCAATGTGACAGTGAATGAGACAGAGCGAGAATTTGTATACTCAGAGCGAAGTGGCCTCCTGTTCACCAGCATCCTCACGCTGAGGGGACAGGCCCAGGCCCCACCCCGTGTCATCTGCACCTCCAGGAACCTCTATGGCACCAAGAGCCTGGAGCTGCCCTTCCAGGGATCTCGTGAGTGCTGTGGCCTTGGGGTGGGGGTTGAGGGAAGTAGGAGGTCTGCTTGGATCTAAGCTGGATCAGCTGTGCAGACTGATCAACTAGCAACAGATCCTCTGTAGTTGGCAAAGGGGGCTGTCCTGAATTTGCCCACCCTGGGCCTTCCAGCAGCTAAAGGGACCATACCAGCGTGCAACCAGGAGCTTTCATGCTGGTCAGTCAGGGCAAGGATGTCACAGTGGTACAAATATTAGACTCTCACCCCATCACTCCTGAGGACCCAGGTGTCTTACTCACTGCGCAGCATCCCTGAAGTATCTGGGTCCTCTCTGTCCTCAGACCGACTGATGTGGGCCAAGATTGGGCCCGTGGGAGCAGTGGTTGCCTTTGCCATCCTAATTGCCATTGTCTGCTACATCACCCAGACACGGAGAAAGTAAGTGCCTGTCAGGGCTGATCTAAGGATGGGGAGGCTCAAGAGGTGTGGGGGAAAGTGGAGGTGGGAGACAGGCAAGGGAGAGCAGTGTAGGGAGGAGCATTCTGCCCTGAGAATGTTCCTTCTAGCAGGAGAGTGGGTTTGGGCTGCTGCTGTCAGCCAGGTCAGGAACCCTGGAAGCAGAGAGGGGTGGACACCCAAGGACACAGTGAGGCTAGTCATTCTGAAGAGTGCATTTGCTCTGTGTTAGAGAGTGGGGTGGAAGCCATTCTGGGGTTTCTGGGGCCAAAGTCCAAGGTAGATGGAACATGCAGAAAGGGTAAGGAGAGAGAGACCTGAGAGTTCCACTGGACTGATGTGTCCTACCCTGCAGAAAGAATGTGACACAGAGCCCCAGCTTCTCGGCAGGGGACAACCCTCACATCCTGTACAGCAGCGACTTCCGCATCTCTGGGGCACCAGAGAAGTATGAGGTGAGGACTAGGGCCCCATGGCTCCAGGCTAGTCAGGATCCCAGGTGCCAGGGATGCTGAGGTCCCGGGCAGGGACTGTGAGGCCAAGGGGCACAGGGGGAGGTCAGGAAGGAGCTGTGGGGGGCTGGCTTGTCCCTGGAGATTGGTGGGGAGGTGCCAGACTGAGGTTATGGGGAGCTTGGGGGTGAGGCCTTCACCCTTCCTGCCTGTGTCTGTGACTGCATTTCCTTCTCCAATAGTCCAGAGAGGTCTCTGCCCTGGAATCTCACTGAGAGCCCCAGAGGTAGGTTCTGGGGCCTCAGTGTTCCTGCCTCCAGGCCTGTGCTGGGCCTCGGGGTTGGTGTCCATGTGTGTGTCCTCGTCAAGCACCCAAGATGATCTCTGGTTAAGTCTGGTCCTGCCCGGAAGCCCCAGCTTTGTCTATTCTGTCCCATTGCTGCTGCTTCTGTCTGTGACTGTTGTCCTGTGTACATGTGTCCACACCTGTGAGGTGGGGGGGTAGCACGATGGGGAAGCTGAAGCCGCACCTACAGGGTTTCCAGGATTGAGGAGGGGAAGGACTTCGTGAAGCAGCCATTTGAAAGCTTTTGAAAAGATCTGACCACGGAGACTGAATACGGGCAGTTGTTCTGAGGTGTCCTGTTTCCCCTTAACATTCCTATGTTGAAGAAAGCACCCTGGAGGAAGGGACTTTGTAGGGAGATTTCAGGCACCGCAATGAGGAGGTTGTGGTGTTGGGGCATCAGCATTGACAAAGCCCCCAGGGTGGAACGTGGTGATGACCTTGGGGGCGTCTGGGATGGAGCTCCTCAAGAAAAGGCTTGCCTGGTACTTTGGGGCTAGCTCTGGGGTGATGGGGGACTGGAAGCATTCTAATCTTCGCATGGGGAAATTTGGGGAGAGGATCCTGCTAATGAGTTGTCTCCCCTCATAGAGTGAGAGGCGTGTGGGATCTGAGCGGAGGCTGCTGGGCCTTCGTGGGGAACCCCAGGAACTGGACCTGAGCTATTCCCACTCAGACATGGGAAAACGACCCACCAAGGACAGCTACACCCTGACAGAGGAGCTGGCTGAGTATGCTGAAATCCGTGTCAAGTGAGGGAGCGGGGGCAGCCCACGTGGCCTCCCCCCTCAGGACCCTCACTGGCCCTCACTGGCTGTGGGCTCCCTTCCTCCTCAGAGTGGTGGGGCATGAAGCAGAAGGGGAGGGGCAGGGGACAGTGGGGTCCTGGGGCCCTGCCTCCCCTCCTCTCTGGTTGCCTTCTTCCCACTAGCATCCCCACCCTCACATTTGGGCTCCCCTCCACCATCCTTTAACCTCATCTGTCTGGAGGGAGCTCTGTCTGTCTGTGTTATTTATTGCTACCCCCCCCATCTCCTGCCCCCACACTGGCCCCAGAACATGTACAGAAGGGACAGAAATAAATGTCCTGATGCTAAATACCAGTCTAGATCCTGATGGTTCTGATGTGTCTTTGGGGAGCCCACCATCCTACTTTTGTCACAATGATCCCAGGGATTTACCTCCCTTTCTGCTTGGCCCTGTGTCAGGGTGAAGGCCCAGGGACTCTAAACGTGAGCCTGAGTCAAACTTGTCCTTTCTTTGTCTGGTGCAGCCTTGGCCTGGTCTGGGTTCTAGGTAATTTCACACCATCCTCCTTCTTGCATCAGTTGCAGGTCATCTGACAACACCAGGCTCACACTTGCAGGAGTCTCCCTGAAGGGAAGCAGGCTGCCCCTTCCTTAAGGGCACACACACTCCCCACTGTAGCTCTCACCACTCTCCGTTGTCCACACCTGCCTGGGTCTGCAACCTGACATGACCTTCTGCCCTGTGCAGGACAAGTGGGACCAACAGGTCCAGGTGTCCACTAGCTTCTCTTGGGTAGGCTGCTGTCCCTCATATTCATGCTGCACTCTTCCTCTCCAGCCTTCCAAACAAATGTTAGGGACCAGCGTATACTGAGCCCCTTCAGGAAGCTCAAGCTGTCCCAAGAAGGGACTCCAGGACAAATCTGTGACGATGAGAATACTGGGGCTCAGAGAAGCTAGGTGATTTTGCCAGGGTCCTGATACCAAGCAGTGGAATCTTTAGTCCCAGAGATAGTAGAAGTTAAGAGTGGGTCAAATATGCTAAGCACACACATAAGCTCAAAACTTTGTGGGGACAGTGTTCAGCCAAACTGGAGCTTTGAGCATTTGCTTGAGAGAGTGGCCAAGCTGCTGCCCACAAAACAGAGAGCAGTAGGTTTTTATTGATTTGCTGGGGTGGGCTCAAGTCCAGTAACTCCCATTGTAGCTCCAACAAATTTCATTTTGTGATGCTTTTGGAACACTGGGTGGTCATTTAGCTACAGGCTGTTGAATTTTTTGTATCTGGCACCATCATCCTGTGCAGGACCTCCTGGCCTTGTACTTGGTGGGCTCACACACAGTCTGCTTTGCTCAGGAACTGCCGAGGTCCTCTTCCAGCTGCCTGCACATCCCGTACATGGGTCCTGGCCTTACGATAGGGCTGAAAGACTTTCAGGGCTTGTGCTGCTGAGAAAGCATGAGGCTGGGCTGGAAGAAACACAGAGCAGCTCCCATGGGCAGGAGGCCAAGCTGGCCCTGCATCACAGTCTTGGATGAAGCACTCCTTAAATGATCAACGTGTCGCTGTGCAGAGCTGAGTAGAATCTGACACCAATGTTAAAATAGCAAAGGGGACAGACACACTGTGAAACCAGAGATGCTGAGCCCCTTGTCCCATTTTAGTCATCTGTCAGACTTCTGTAGGCCCGAGTGAAGCAAAAGCAGCTGTCAGGGTAGTAGTAACGGAGGCACCGATAGCATACGCCCATGGCAAAGCCAGTGAAGCTGGTAACATATCACCCAGCTGTGCAACCTCTAAAATTAGAGATCTTAAATTGACTAAGAGCAAGTGAAGCTAAAAGACTTATTTAGTTTTTTTCTCATTTCATGCAAATATTCTGCTTTGGTGGTTTTATTAGGGTCGCTGTTGAAATATGCATACTATAAAGGGTAATAGTTTACAGTACCTGGAGGCTTATTTTGTCAGTTCAACCTTTGGTCCAATCAATATCCCACCATGGTGTCCCCTAACTGTTTCAGGAATCAGAGCAAGGAATTGATGTGGCCAGGCCTTGGACTCAGTTCTGGGCTTAAAGATGCACTTTTTCTAGCACATCTGTAATGAATTTAAAGGACTAGATTCTCTGCTACAAATGGTAGTATGACCTACGTTCGTTGAGTGCTGACTATGTGTTATACAATTCTACATAATTTACCTTAATTAATCTCCATTTACTCTCCCTAACAGCTATGATAATGATTCCCAAAGTGCAATCACTAACTAACAACATCAGAATCTCCTGGAAACTTGTTAGAAAGGCAAATTCCAGGCTCTACCCTAGAAATGTGGGAACCAAACACTTCTGCAAAGACCCTGACTGTCTACATTTTGAGAAGTCCTGGAGGGTTGTTGGCTCTCTGATGTTTGAGAACCCTGAGTGGCTAAGATGCAGCAAGGTCAAATCGTTCTCTCGAGGTCCCTCACTGGTGCCAGCAGGGCCCTTCCTGAGTCCTGAGCTCCAACCCCTGACTTGGAGGTCATCTCTCCCCACTGTGCCTCCCTGTCATTTGGTGAGAACAGGGCCCTGGGGTGCTTGGGAGCAGTTAGAATAAAGCTGTGAGGCTTCAGGCAACTGCTGAAGGGAGTTAGGAATTTGGGAGCCTGGATGTTGAAGACAAAGAACTCAAGACTGAGCTCAGGTGCTGGCCTTTTCTTCAGTCTTGCAGGGAAAGAGATCAAATATAGTC